ACATAATTACTTAGTTCAACTTCGCCATGTGAGAATATTCTATTTTATCATAAATATATTTTATTTTATTTTATATTTATTTGTTTTCTTGGAAAATTTGGTCCTACACATTTCACGCACAATCTCACTCACACATACTTTGATGTACGGTGGTAAAGTCCCTTTGGGAAAGGATTGATTATTTCATATTTGATTTGTATTCTAGAATATTTTTTTCCTATGATCTTAATTATGATCCTATGAGCACTTTTGGCATAAAATGGCTAAGGGGCAATTACAATGAACAATGTCATGCAGAGATGATGTATTTATTGTCTTCATTTAATCTTCAAATTAAAGCAATACTATCTGCAGATATATTAATACTTACACCCCATGTTTTAAATGCCGTACTGGCCGGTAATACCGGACATCGGTCATTGGTACGGTACAATTGCACACAAAATACCGGATTTACGGTTATACCGGTTTGTACTGAGATCATATCGTAAATACCGAAAAATACCGGTCCAAAATATCAGCCAATAAAAAAAATAAATAAATAAATAAAATTTATTAATTTAAAAATATAAAATTTAATTTGGTTTAAAATGTTTTATTTTTATCTCATTGGAAAGTTGAAATTAATTATTATGGTCATTTATTTTTTTACTTTTTTGTATTTGGTATTATATATTTTTATATATATTTATATATATCATTATAGAAAACTAATATAGGAATAAAATAGAAATAATCAAAGGCCCAGAATGAGCTGCAAATGGTAGAATCTGTCCGGCTCGTTGGGTTAATCGAAATCGTTGTTCCACTTCCGAAGCATATTAAAATAGAAACTCCGAGCTCAAACGCAAAAGTTGAGTTCTTTTTAAGTTCTGCCAACAAACACCTTTCGAACGATCTTCAGCAGCCAAAGCTCGTCCTCTACACGTCTCACATTAAAAATCCTACTGATTGCATGTATTTTCTGAAACTACATTTTTCTAAAATCTCCAAGTTTAAAGAGGTTGTTTTGACTGCCCATTACAAAGCACACCTCAGCCCATTCAAGAGCTTTTAAGGCTATGATCACCATGTAGGAAAAGAAAATAATGAAATATGAAAAAAGTCATCCATTTCAAAGAAGCATAAAATCTTTCAAATGTATAAAGGAAGACAATAAGAGGGACACAACATCATTACATCCATTAAAATACCTACTATACAAAAGATCATTAATCTCTAGGCTCATCTATCATCCCCCAGACATGTCCATAAACCCATCAAAAAACTCAACATTGCAATTTGCAACTCACC